TGTGGGGGTCCCGGGCCCGGGAAACACATCGGGAGTATCAGGTAGGGGGGGGAGGCGGCCACTTTAGCAGATCGTAGAAGCGATCTGGTGGTAGTTGAGCCGCCAGAATCACTTCTACTGTAAAACACACTCACCGGGGACAGAGTCCCGGTGAGTGTGTTTAACCCCTTCAGGATTCATGACAGGATTACCCCGTCATGGGTCATGAAGGGGTTAAAAAAAACAAGTCAGCAATGGAATTGCCATATTTACCATATTCAGTACCTGATTTGTTCTCTTTGAGGTTAGCAGCCTCAACTTCAGAATTCAAGCAGTCATGTAAGAGGCTGAGTATATGTGGAAGTAAAGCGTAGGAGCGCCTCAAATAACCCGGCAGTAAGAAGTAGTCTCCAAATGGTCATAAAGCAGTTGAATTTAATTAGAAATCCAAAATGCTGGATTTTCTTATTGGATAAAACTTCTTTACAACCAGATGATTCTACTTTATATAGTGCGGTTAAGGTTCCTTGTGGAGCCTTTGCACTTTGCCTTCACATATACTCCACTCAGGCTGGACATTATATTGTTTCTCTTCTGAATGAGCAGTTTTTAGACCTCCGATGGACACCATCAACTCTCAGTTCAACATATTATCTAGAGTCCAGTGCCGTCATGCAAGGATAAGCTACATTGGGAATTGTGACTAAGGCACTTTGTATGTTCTGTAGGTTAGAGTAGACAGATGCTTTAAGGTTGTAACATGAAGTCCCCGGATACATTGAAAGGTCAATGAAAGAATTGCTGCGTAAGATATCATTATCCCTGAATACTTCAAGCAAACATTAACCTAGAAAGGTGTGATGTTTGTATGTTGAAAAGGGGGGCAGAAGTTCATATAAAGTAGAATGCTTTAGTCTGGATACATATTACAGTAAAATGGAATATTAAGTTCTAATTCTCTGTGCACAGCTATTCTGAAATGATCTGCAGTGATCACATACAGGACAGTGTCCAGTGCTCCTTTGCAGTTTAAAGATATAGGGGTGAAGGTCTTAATTGAAGATGCCATAATCATCAGTGCTCTCCCAGTGCTCATGCCTCCACATTGTCAATTGTTCTGGATCAGGAAGAAAACTCTATAGGGTGTGTGAAGATGACAGGTAACTTGCAGCCATTATAGAAGCCATGCCCTATACCAGTGTTTCTCGACCTTTTTGGAGTCACAGCATACTTTTAAACTACGCAAAATCTCGAGACACCCCTGTCTAAGGCCCCATTCACACTTTCGCGTCACGTTACCATGCATCACGTTTTGCCACATTTGCTGTGCATCAGCCCATTGATTTTTAATGGGCTGCCGGAAGCATAACAAACATGGCAAAGAAGTTCATGCAGAATTTTGAGCTGCAAGCTTCACATGATTTTATACCACACATTTGTGTGCATTTGGCGCACATCAACACGTGGGCAAAAGCATGCATTTTACCGGCTGCATTTGGGGTGCTATTACTTAACACTCATACACTACTTTTTTTTTAGCTGCACCACAATTGGGGCCAGAGGTGTGTCTGGGGTGCTTTTTATATGAATGGCAACTCAAGGTATTTCCCGCACTATAACACGCGCTAGTTGCATTGCGTGATGTCTGGCAGCATTCAACAATGTCATTGATTGCTACAGAGCAAGTGGGTGTCCCGCAATGCACCTGCTTGATTCCTAGTAACCTATGGACACTCACTGAAGACACTGTCGGCGGCCACAGCTTAAGATTTTGATTCTAAAAGTGGTCAGGGGAGGGGAGAAAGAACACTGTGCTTGGTCTACATTCTTTGTAGTTGACACTCTGGCCATTTTTGTTTCATTTTGCCATGGCACCCCTGATGATCTCAGGCAGCACACCAGTGTGCCGTGGCACCCTAGGTGAGAAACACTACCCTATACAAAGGCTTGGAGAAAAAAAGCTGTAATAAAAAGCCATCAGTGAATCACACCAAATTAAAGTGACATTAAACTCATGTATCTTCCTTCCACTAATTTATGACAGTCCCTCCAGTGCTGGTGCTGTGGTCCACTGCAGACTTCTTGTGTCCCACGGTGTCTGTCCAGCATGCACGCTCCCAGCTGCATGTCTGCGTCCACTCACTGCAATTGTGTTTTCTTCCCCTCTGCTCTACTGCGCATGCGCTCGCACAGCAATTCGGGAGCTGGGAGTTTTTCAGCCGGGAGCGAGGCGGTGCTGGAACAGGTAAGTAATTAGGTATTTGCCTATTTTTTTTTTTAATCATGGGGCATATATATATAACAAAGACTTTAATTATACTTTAAAGTTAAATGACTGTTCTAGGGAATAGACATGTTAAAAAGTAAAATGATGTGTTCCTATAGGCTGGGGGTTAGCCAAGGGACTAATGACCCAATTTCCTAAACGAAAATCCTGTTACAGAACCAAACACAAAAAAAAGGCAAACTTACTTGTATTTGAAATGACTCAATTTCTATACAGACAAGACTTTTACATGAATATTTGAGAATGTTATTAGTAGCTGTTTTACATAATGTAATTGTTTCATTTTAAATCTAGCGGCCCTTTAAAAACCACCCCATATATCATGATACTGCCCAATGTATGACTGCATTGCAGCACATGTTAATGTACTGTATCTAGTGTCGTTACAATCTGAGCTGTATTTTCACACTGTACTACCGTACTCCAGGGAGCTTAGTTGTATGGACTGACTGTTGGTTTATTGAGTACAGTTCCCACTGTGTGCTGTTGCTGTCCTTGGTGCTGAAAGTATGTACTGTACTTTATAAAGCATCTTGCGACTTCTGCTTGGGAGAAGGTGGATAGGTAGGGGAAGGCATAGCATTCTCCAGCATTGAACAAGTTAAATCTATTTGTCACAAGAGCCATACAAGTTTGCTTATCTGGGCCAGTGATCCCCAAGGGAGAGCTGTCAGTGTGCAGGGCATGAGTGGGTGGAATACCTAATGACTGTATGTACAGGTCAGCAGTGGTGGATGACAAGCCATTGGCAGTGTTAATGCTCCACTAACTGATGGAGACAAGGATCAAAGTGCACTGCAGACATCTATAGACATAATGTGAGCCTGAGTGTATAGGAATCCAATCACCATGAATGATTTCATCTTGTATAGAAGAAAATAAACCCTTTTCTGCCAAGCACGACTTCAATGTTTCAGAAGCTGGGAGGAGGGGATGGCCTCCAGGGAGGGGTGCATGATGGCAATTTCAGCAAAGCTTTAATTTCACTGCTTGTGTTTGGAAGGAATTGATTTTTTGGAATATATTTGTGTATTGGCTTGCTATTAATGAGCAAGGGAGAGAACACTGAGGACATAATCTGCATTGCTGAACTGACAGTGAATAATCAAAAGCAGAGAATTTAGCTATCCAGAGCCTCATACAGCAGGTCGGGGAGGGTGAGAGTGAATTCCTACTCCACTTAGGGGCTAATTTGATAAGTGCAATAGAGCAATGTAGTGATGCAAGGCAAGAGACAGCAGCCAATCAGTCACCAGCTTTTAATTGGAGGTGGACTGGGATTGGTTACTAGGGGTCACTGCACATCATTGCATTGTGTTAATTATATAGCAGAGGAAAGGAGCATAGAAGCATTGCCCATAGCAACCGAGCAGATCAATAGTTTTTCAAATACACCCATAAAACCCATTTGTTGCCATGAAGGACACTTCACACTTTCTATCCTTCATATTCATTGAATACTCTTGCTACAGGCGTAATTATAAAAAAAAAAAAGAATAAGGGAAATTAATTCACAATCAGCAATAATATCTTACTGTTCTGACCCAAAGAAAGGTAACATCTGATTACTATGAATCAGTACATATCAAATAGCCCTATGCACAGCCTGATTGAATTAGCTCCTGTTAAGGTATTAGTTAATATTCTATTGTATATGCCTCAACGCATTCACATAACAGGAGGCAGAGATATGCCATTATCAGGAAACTGATGAAAAAAAGCTATACAGTATTTAGCGTGGGAAGCAATCTAGTCTACCAAGCACAGTTCTTTGAAGCTGCTTATGAGTTTGCAGTGTTTGCAGTGTATCACTGTACGCTGATCATTAGACATTCTTGCTTTGCAGTCTTCACAGCTAGCATTGCTGTGACTTGCTGCTTTAAGTCAGATGGCGGGAGTGCGCCTGCTCTCTTACATATGTATGAAGTGGATCATACTCCCCCACATCCAGTCTGCCAGGGACAGGCACAGTGGAGGAACATTGAGCTGCTGCAGAGACCTGACAGCTGAAAGCTTAACACTTCTCTAGGGTATAGGATTCTGCTCTGTGAGCCCTGCAGCCTGGAATCCAGGGTTAGTGATCTGGACTCTACCGCCATCTGAACCTTATACACAATCCGTCTATGTCTCTGCAAACCGCAGACTGGATGTGTTGAACTGCGAGGTGCTATGTTGCTTCATCACCTGGAGTATGTGTATCATCATCACCACCCCCAGAACAGTATTTACTGCAGCCAACTGCTGAGGGATTCATTCTGCCAGAGGATAAGGTATACAAGAATGAAGAGGGTCTGGCTGGTATCCTGTACCAGGGACTTGGCAGCTTCTCTTAGGACCCTTTAAGTAATCAGACCTCCTGCACTGAATCTTTTTTGAAATTGTATCTACTCCCCCACACCCTCTTGTGTTGTGCATGTTGTGGTGCAGATTCTGACCTGATGTAGCAGTGTAGCTAAAAAACAACAACAGCACACCCTGTTTAAGGCTAAGAGAAGAAACTAGATCTCCCCACCAACCTATCTACATCTCAAGACAAACCTAAAAATGTGAATAACTTCTTTACCAGATATACCTCATTGGGGTAAATTCACAGCTGGTTAACCTTTACACTGTCGACGAGAAGCAAGCATCAATCAGTCCACATTTGCCTCTAAAAACCAAACCTGATCTATTTCTGCATCCAGTCTGTTGGAGAAAAACAATCACCTTTTGTAAGCCATTTTGCCATCCTTCTACTTTCTTTCCAACAAGCCTCTTTTAAATCTATCTCACAAAACAAATGACTGCCAGTTTTAAACCTTCTCCAAGACCCCACTGATGTCCCCTAAGTGAGTGTGGGTTGGGTCAACAGGATTAAATTTGCTCTGGTACCAAATGACCTTCCTCAACATCTTTGAGGCTCTGTTGCAGATTCTGATGAGTGATCTTCTTCTCGGTTCACTTGGGCCTCAGATACTTCAGAAGATGGTATGGTCCCATGTCTTCCTACAGTCCCATCTCTCCCTAAAAAAATGAGCTGACACACTGCTGTTGTCAACCCCCCTCATCTGGGGATCTTACCATAGGATCAGTGACAAGCACCATGTGAGAGGTCACCGTCCATCATAAGGTAAAAGTTTTGTGTGCTATCCTAATTGTTTTGTGGAACCACATATGTTTAGAAAGTTATACAAAAACCTAAAATAATGTTGGCATTCACAGACAATGGCTTATGTAGTTTTCACCTAACTACTGACCCCTTAAATAGATCTAGCTCGTCTTTGGCATTTATACATCCTTCATGGTCATTCGTCTGCTCATTTGTCTGCAGCCTATTCCAAGCATATACTACACTTACAGAGAAGGCTTTGATATGGAAATAAATTACATTTCCTTAGTAAGTACATCTGCTTTCTCCGTGATTATATTACCTCAAGATGCCCTAGGCTGATAGGGTATATTTAGTTAAAATCAATATAGCAATTTGCAGCTGCTTAGTTATTATCTGTTTTCAATTTCATAGTAATTCTCTTTGATGTATGATGTACAATTTTCACATGTATTTGTGTGAGTGTTTATGTATGTATGTATGTATGTATGATTATATAAAGTGAAAGTGAGGCAGGGAGAAAAAGGAGAGAGTGAGAGGAGATGGAGGAAGAGGTTGGGAAGGAGGGAATGAGAGAGAGAGGGGGAGAGAGAGAAAGAGAGGGACAGATGAGAAATTAAATGAAAGAAGACAGGTAGAGAAATAAATAAGAGAGGGCTATAGAGAGACAAAACAGAGGGAAGTAGAGACAAGACATTTATTGAAATAGAAGAGAGGAAGAGAGGGCTATGGAGAGAAAGAAAAGAGGGAAGAAGAGACAAGACATGTATTAAATAGAAGAGGAAGAGAGGGCAATAGAAAGACAGAAAAGATGGAAGAAGAGACAAGACAGGTATTAAAATATAAGAGAGGAAGAGAGGGCTATGGAGAGACAGAAAAGAGGGAAGAAGAGACAAGACAGGTAATGAGATTGACATATAAGAGAGGGCTACAGAGACACAGAAGAGAGTGAATCAGAGTTAAGACAGGGTACGAGGAGAGTGAAAGAGAGAGATACAAGACAGGAAATGAGAGAGAGAACAGGGAGGGGTAGAGGTAGATAAAAAAGTGAGGGAAATAGAAAATGACAAAGAGATAAGAAAAGGAAATAGAGGGAAAAGAAGGGTAGAAGAGACAAGACAGGTAGAGAAAAAGAAAGAGAAGAGAAAGAAAGAGTAAGAAGGCTGGTACAAAGAGACTGAGTAAGAAAATAGAGCGGATGAAAGAGAAGACAGGTAAGAGATAGACAGGGAAAGGGAGCAAAGACTGGTAAATTGAGAAATAAAGAGGAGAGAGAGAGATTAAATAGATAAGACTGGTAACAAAGATTTTAAAAAGAAAGAGAGAGGGAGAAAGAGATGAGAGAGAAGACTGGTGAAAAGGGAAATAGAGAGAAGAGAGGAAGAAAGAGATGGAAAAGAGAAGACTGACGAAAAGTGAAATAGAGAGAAGAGAAGCAGAGAGAGATGGAAGATAGAAGACTGGTGAAAAGAGAAATAGAGAGGAGAGAGGGAGAAAGAGATGGAAGAGAGAAGACTGACGGAGAGAGAAATAGAGAGAAGAGAGGGGTAGAGAGAGATGGAAGACTGATGAAAAGAGAAATAGAGAGAATAGATGGGTAAAATGAGATGGAGGAGAGAAGACTGGTGAAAAGAGAAATAGAGAGAAGAGAGGGAGAAAGGGAGAAGACTGGTGAAAAGAGAAGAGAGAGAGAAACAGATGGAAGAGAGAAGACTAGTGAAAAGAGAATAGAGAGAGAAACTGATGGAAGAGGGAAGACTGGTGAAAAGAGAAGAGAGAGAGATAAAGAGGTGGAAGAGAGAAGACTAGTGAAAATAGAATAGAGAGAAGAAAGTGAGAAAGACATAGAAGAGAGAAGACTGGTGAAAAGATCAAAAGAGAGGAATAAAAAGATGGAGGAGAGAAGACTGGTGAACAGAGAAATAGAGAAAAGAGAGGGGTAGAGAGAGATGGAAGAGAGAAAACTGGTGAAAAGAGAAATGAGGGATAGAGGGAGATGGAAGAGAGGACTGCTGAAAAGAGAAATAGAAGAGAGGGAGAGAGGGATGGAAGAGAGAAGACTGATAGAAAAAGAGAGAGAGAGAGAGAGAGAGAGAAAAGGGAGGATAGTAGACAGAAGACTGGTGAAAAGGGAAATAGAGAGAAGAGAGTAGACTGGTACAAGAGAAATAGAGAGAAGTGAGGGAGAAAGAGATGGAAGAGAGAGGACGGATGGAAAAAGATATATAGAGCGAAGAGAGGAAGAGAGTGATGGAAGAGAGAAGACTGGTAAAGAGAGAAAGGGGAGACAGGAAAGAGGGGTGTGAGAGACAAAAAAGAGAGAGAAAGAGACAGACAAAGAGATGAGAGTAAGAGAAGAGAGGGAGACTAAGGAGATACAGAAAAAGAGAGAGAAGAGAAAGAGAGGTAGGGGATAGAAAGGAGGAGGAAGGAAGGGTAGCTGTAGAGAGGGAGGGATGGAGAAGAGTATGAATAGGGGAAAGAAGAAGGTTGAATTAGAATTGAAGCCATGGAAAGATTGCAGAGAGTAGGGCTTCCCTTTTAATCACACAAATAGACAGGGAGTCTGTAAGATAGGATAATGATATATTCTCCCCCACCCCCCTCGGGCAGCTCCTCTGGGCAGGGAGATCATCTGTTATTAGCTGGGTCAGTGCTGCACTGGGAAATGATGGAGCTATGCAACCATTTCCAAGTCTTTCTATATTAACAGAATTTAAGCAAGTGTTCAACATCCTCAATAAATGTTGGAATTTAGCAAGGATAGGGGCCTGGCCGTGCTGAAATCTTTAGTTCCACATCACCAGGAACATCATGCGTGCTCTGCCTGTTTCTTCAAAGTAAACATACATTTAATGGTAGAGACCAATGCTACAGTTCTCTTTGCAAACAAGGGCTGAAACTTGGACCCATCTAGCTAACAAAAAAAGCTATAATGTTTATTTAATAAAGAAGTCGTGTTTTTTAAATACAAATGAGGGCCAATTGAATTATTTGTTTTAGACTTCCTGAAACTGGACAGCAAGTGAACATGGGCTAGAATGGAAATTGTTACCGTAGTAAGTCAGTTTCTGTATAAATGAACATAAAAGATCTGCTCTCTTGTGTTACTTCTGTAATGAACATTTTCATGTTTGGCCACTAGGGACACTTCCATCGATACATTAATATTATCTTGCCCAAGCAGACAGCTCCCAATCAACATAGCATATATGGGTAGCAAAAAGAGCACTCATGATGTACAGAAACCCCAACAACCCATCAAATTTTAAAATCAATTTACAGCAAGTAAAACAATTGATTGGTTGTCAGAGACTGCTGCATTATGTAAATTGCCATTTGCCTTATTAACCACTTCATGTCTGGACGGCTAGCCCCCCTTTAAGTTTCAACTTTTGTAGATGTGGCAGCTTGACTGATGATGGATCCTTTGTTTGTAGGCTAGGTTCACACCGTTGCATCTGACTTGTCCTGAGATTTTTAGCGCATATTTAAGCCATGCTGTCACGTGTTTGTACTACCTTTTTTGTTTTGCCAAATAAAAAAAGCAATATATGCTCTAACATGGTTAGGTGCCCACTTTGTGTGATCTGATTCATGTTTTTTTGCATGCTGTTGCAAGTGCATCTATGTGGCTGAATATGTACTGTATTTTTATGACATCAGGTGGTTTTATATAAAAATTATACTATTAATACCATTTAAAAGCTGAACATTCTTATTAAAATAAGAGATTCCTAGTCCCTCTGGTGCTTGCACCGGCCCTTATATTGGGGATGTCTGGGGTCATATATTAGGTGGCGAGTGACCTTCCTTATCAGTTGTTCCACATTCGGCATGCTGTGGCCAGCTTCTTCAATATTTGTAAGGAGCCTGGATGAAATAGTGCCTGCTAGAGCTAAGACAAGCCAAAAGAGTGCTACAATGCATGTTATATGCCTTTTCACACTTTGCTATTGAAGGCCATTGGGCCAAGAATGCATGTTGCCGCAGCAAATAATGCACTTGTACTGTTTCCCAACGGAAGGTAGTGTGGGGCAAAGGTGTGAATGGGCCCCATAAAAAACAATGGCAACGTCTTCTGTGTTAACGTGCCTTAGGTAAGGTGTGCTAAATCGTACAAGTGTAAACAGGGCCTTACTTTCAGTAACCGTACTAGATATTTTCTTTCAAGACATGTCAGCATCTGCTATGATACACTGATAGATAGGCCTGATTCCTGTATTGATTATTCCTATATGTTTACAAATATGAAATATAGCATTTACCCGAGGGCTTTGTGTGTCTGGCAAATAGATGGATTATAAGGTTCTAGTAGTCACCATGTTTTATTTTTCTTTTGTTTAAAAAGTTGATTGTTTACAGAGCTCAATGGCTGAAGCTGAAATTTACACACACAAGTATATAAGTCAGTGTTGTACATATTGTCGCAGCTGTCATGCTTTGCATCATGCAATGAAAAAAGATTTACAGCATGTTGCATGTATGACAGGCGGGGCCACATTTGTCAAATTTGAGCACTGCAATGAATGGGTACATGGTTGCAACATTGTATTGCAATAGGACATTTCTTTTTTGGATTTAAACAAAGTGCAATCAGGGTAGTATCACCTCATGAACGACGGGCAGCCACTGCTCTGTGGTGGATTGCTTTTCAGAGGGCGGGGGGAGACTTGTCCTGGTCACTAATGTCAATGCCGGGAATGAAAAGTGAGGGTAAATCCAAAATGTTGAGTTGCCACCAGAAGAGGCATATTGGGGAAATCTTCCAATGTGGACACTTGTTCCTATGGCAACTGCCTAAGAAAGGCTTTCCCTCACATTGGAAAAATATCCTCCCCCTTCCTGTTGAGTCTACAGTACAGGAAGTAAAGGCAAATCTCCTTAACCCCTTGCTGCCTGCCCATCGTAAAAATACGGCGGACGGTGGATGCTTCCCGGCGAGTGGACATACATTTACGTGATTTTCTTTCTGCTCTCACACTCCCCCTAGCAGGCACGTGCATACAGAATCCCGCCTG